GTCCGGATTTGGATCGAAGCTGATATACGGGTCCGGGTTCTTTCATATGAGGATCAAGCTGCCCAACAAGAACACTGCTGGAGTTGTTACGGCTTTTTATGTACTACTATAATTTTATTTAATTAATTAATTCTAATTAAAATCAAATCTTTTTTTTTTTCCTGGCACTTACAAAAATTAATTTAACAATCTTTAGTTTAATATTATTCGGCTTAGAAAAAAAGGGATCACGTGACATTATTAATAAGGAATAAATTATTTTCTACTATCATTCAGATTGTAAAACTCCTATGGTTTTGTCAAATAAATAAATAAATAAATAAAATTGTTAACCAATTTTTTTACTATATAATTTCTCTTCGCGCAATAATGCGGGTCTCCACATCCAAATTAGTTATAACTATGCCAAATGTTACAGTCTTATTACGGAACTATTCCGTCGAGATTTGTAACCGTTAGATCATTATGTGACCGTCGTGAATAGTTGATTTAACGATTATAGATCCCGACAGAATGGTTTCGTAACAAGACCGTACATCTCCCATAACTACTTATATGGATCAAAATTTGTGTAATAAATAATATTAATAAATGTATATAATATGTCAACTTAATTTGCAGTTGTCTTCAAACACGGGTAACCATGACGAGATAGACTTTGAATTCTTGGGCAATAAAGAAGGGAAACCCATCATTCTGCAAACAAATGTGTTTGCAAATGGGCAATTGGGAAATAGAGAGCAAAGGATACGGCTCTGGTTTGATCCAACCCAAGCTTTCCACACTTACCTCATCCTATGGAACCAACACCAAGTTGTGTAAGAAATTTAATATATATATTTCATCATACTATTTATTATTCATATTTTCTTTTTTTTAAAAAAAAATAAAAATCTAAAACTCTTTCCTTCAAATTAGAGATGAGCAAAACCGAGCATAAACCAAATTCGATCCAGAACCGTGCAATTCGGTGCGGTTCAGTTCAGATTTTTCAATATGAGAAATTTTCGGTTCAGTTTTGATTCGGTTTTTTTTTCGTACATTGCGGTGCGGTTATAGATTTTTATAAGTTCGGCTTTTGGTTTCGCTCGGTTCGGTGCGATTTTGGACCGACCCACACCAAATTGAATAAAATGTATAGAAAGTCGAGATAACACCGAAATCCGAGCCGAACCGTGCATTTCGGTTCGGTTATTTTAGTGTAAAAAAAATTCAGTTCGATTTTTTTCTAAGTTGCAGTGCGGTTTTTACTTTTTTGCTAGGTTCGGTTTCTTTAGTTTTTCATGGTTCAGTACGGTATTTCACCGAACCGCACCGTTGCTCACTCCTAATTCAAACAACTCTCTACCAAATCACGATAAAGCCCTACTAATTGTATCAATATTTTTTTCTTGACCAACACTATAAATTAGAAACCATCTTTGATCTTTGTTTATGTTTTATCAATTTTTTGCAGATTTTATGTTGACGATATTCCAATAAGAGTGTTCAAAAACAACACAAATATTGGTGTACCGTACCCAACGCAGCCAATGCAGATACTAGGCAGCATATGGGACGGATCGGATTGGGCCACAGACGGAGGACGGACTAAGATCGATTGGGCCTTCGCACCATTCACGGCCCATTTTCAGGACTTCAATGTGGTGGCATGCCCCTTATCATCCTCAGAAAATAGAGAAAATTGCTATGGGTCAAATTATTGGTGGAACGACAAAAAATATTGGAAATTAAGCCGTAATCAGCAAGAGGAATATGAGCGAGTGAGGACACAATATTTGAATTATGATTATTGTGATGATAGAGAGAGATTTCCTACTCCTCCACCCGAGTGCCCATACAATTGAAATCATGAATGAATAGTTATTATGAATAGTTACTATATGTCATTAGGAATTTTTTTTTTTTTTCCTAAAAAAAAGTATTTTTTA